TAGAAGCGTTGATAATTCAGCGAATCAAAGATAAGGTTAGTTACTTAATTTTCACCATTTATTATCAACCAGTTCCTAACTCATCAACGCTTACTGTTCATCTCCTCACAAACATTAAGCTTTCATCCTTCTTGAATGGTACTTATATCAGCTACTCATTTTTTGAGGTGCCATAATATTAACACTGCGAAAACGATGGTAGTAAGACCGAGTCATTGAACTTTTTAATTAATCGCTTTACTAAACTAAAGGCATTTGACGATGTTGAACGTAAAGTTCGTGAACCAGAATCCGAGACCAAATATCGTGCTCCGGTTGAAGAACCATTGGTGAAGAAATCGCTTGCTGAAGTATATGAGGAGCAATATCAAAAAACACAGCAAGGAGTATGTTTCGTTATTTTTTCAAATTCATGTCAATAATATTTAAGCAGTACAACTAGTTTCTCATCAAATGAATCGTTGTTTATATCAGTTAAATGACTGATTAATTACTCATTCCATCGATGAATCGTCACGATTGTAGATGATCCCTTCTTAATGATTTCTAGGAAACAAACGAAGTGAAGAAAGATGAGAAAGTGGCGAATATTGAGAAGTTAATGGACGATTTGTTTAAGAAGCTTGATGCACTCTCGCATTACAAATACATTCCACCTGAGGTTAGTGTGTGGAGAAGGTGTTTGTGTGAATTCTTGTGAATGTTTCTTTATTATTCGCGCATTATTTTTGTTTTCATTTTGCTGTTTGAATATTCAATTTGTATTTGTTTCTGATAACGTGTTATTACGATAATATCTGAATGAATGTTTGAGGTACGACCTGAAGTGCGTATTGTGAGTAATATAGCATCGTTGCGTAAAGAAGAGGTTGGTCCGATGGCATCAACAGATGATGTGTTGATGGCACCTGAAGAGGTGAAAAGACATGAGAAAGGTGAACTGAAAAGTAAGGAGGAAAGAAGCGATACGGATCGTGCAAGGGAACGACGAAAGAAAAAGGTTGTTGTGCACATCGAACTTTTGATCTCGTTTCTGGAGTCGTTTTTCGATTTGTTTCAAACTTTCATTCAAAAAGTTTCCGCTGTGCACAATTCANATTCAAAAAGTTTCCGCTGTGCACAATTCAATTCCAATCTTATTGTTAGATGTATAACACTGATTCGGTGAAGAATTGTTTTTTGCTACAATGAAGTTTTTGTTAATGTGCATTTTGGGTTTATGGTTGCGGGTCGAAGTTTACACGAGCGTTTCCTCTTTGATGGCTGCATAATAATTTATATTTTCATATTTCCTCCTCCACTTTCTCCATCGAATATTTCTTCTCAGCAATTTTTTTTTGAAAAATTAATTACCATCGTTCAATTCATATTAATCAACTGACGTTCATTTGTTTATTCGTGTTTTGTTTTTCACTCGAGTTTTTATCTTTAAGAAGATGCAACGAATGAGTGAACTCAAGAAGAGACTTCATGACGGAGAACAACAAGGAGGTGATGAGAGGATGACGACTGAGGGAGAACCGAAAAAGAAAAAGAAGAAGAAGCTAGGAAAAGGGAGTGAGTTTGATGGAGGCAGCACTGGTGGTGTTGCAAGCGAAAATATCAAATCTACAACATTCTTTAAGAAGCTGCAGCAAACCGTTCAGTCCGAGGTGAGTGCTTATNCCGTTCAGTCCGAGGTGAGTGCTTATGAATTCAGCGATTGAATTTCATGTTGGTTTCGCGTACTGTAAAGGCAGTCTTTTAAGAGCCCCCCCCCCCTTATGATTTTGATTTTCAGCAGCAAATGTATTCTCACGTTTCAGCACTGTGAGTGTTTTTTTCATTGGAAAATATGTTTTTTCAAAAACATTTTGGTTTCAGTCGAGAGTATAAATGCCATGCATTTTATGAAGATTCATTTTTGTTAGTGATATATTATTGTGAAACTTAACCATTTTCCATTCTCGAAAACGGATGGTGTAACAATGTCACTGCATTAGTGACGTGAGCTTGAGGCAGGCTACGGTTTGGCTTAGATCTAATTATGTAAACATATTATCATACTCCTCTCTGCAAATGATGTGCTCATTCCCACAGCTCAACGATCATGTAATAGTGCCATAATCAGTGGAGCAATTTTTATCAAATAATGAGCCTTCGATATATGCAAATATTAATCTTTGGAAGGTGACGACAAAATTGAGTTGTATAAGAGAGAAAGAATTTGCGTCAGATAATATGCCATTTGGACTTGATATACGTGAATCAACTGAATGAATCAGACTATCACTCAGTTGCACAAAGAAACACCATAGCACTATGTATTGTTATAGCCACAGCAGCAACAGATCCTCCTCCCCACCATGCAGCATTGCTTGTAGATCCTGACTGTAGCTCGTGCTCATCCCAAAAGACCCGATCGATGAATTACTCATCGATGGTAAATAAAAGTTCTTTGTTCGTTACAGATCAATGAGAAGTCAAATAAAGAGCTGAAGAAGACTAAACGAAATGCTAGCGCCAAATATGTACTTTAACAAGTGTACATTAATTATGTAACGATGAAGGAAATGAAGAGTTGAAACAGATTGATGTGTTGTTGTACTTTGATAAACTGTTGATGAGAGTAATACTGATGGAAGTATTGTTGTTGTTGTT